TACACCTCCCTGGAAGCTCTGGACCTGGTGTGGGCCAAGTGCAGAGGTTATCCATCATATCCTGCTCTGGTGAGACAACACCAACTGCCACTGTACACTCCAATGTACTGTAATGACTGCATATCTAACCCTCCTCTCGTTGCCGTTTGCCTTCAGATAATTGACCCGAAGATGCCCAGGGAGGGGGTGTTTCACCGAGGTGTCCCGATCCCTGTCCCCCCTTTGGATGTGCTGAAGCTTGGGGAGCAAATGACCCAGGAGGCCAGAGAACACCTCTTCCTGGTTCTCTTCTTCGACAACAAGAGAACCTGGTCAGTGGTCTGGGTCGTCTTGACTCCTCTTTTATAGAAACTCTAATTATCACCTATTTTGTTTCTTCTTTGTTTGCTCTCACTGACATTCTGTCTTGATGATGAAATGAAGAGTAAAACAGAAGAGAAATCGGCTTCTGATGTTGCTGAACGTTTGCATATTTTCTGCGGTGATGGTTCAAAGGAAACTGCTCCGTTAGTACTGAAGTGGAAGAGGACAGAACTTTCAGAAGATATAGGGCAAATGTGGTTTTTGAGAATAGGAGGGAAATAACACATCTTTTTAGGTCATAGTGTGCTGCTGCACAATTAATGGTTGTGAGCTCTGTAAGAAACTAGACAACAGCCACTGTGAAAAACCTTTTCAGAAAGCACTCAGGTCGTCTTTTTTCCAGGTTATTGATCGGTTACTTGGTGTGTTTGGCCTTAAGATAATTTTTTAAACAAGCTGTTAACTGTATGGACTTAATGACCGACATGTATATGTTGTGTTTATTTCTTTGTGCGTTGATTTTAATTAAATCACTGTAAAAAAAAAAAAAAAAAAAGGATTTAACACCTGCTCTGTATTTGTACATACAGGCAGTGGCTGCCTCGCTCGAAGCTGGTGCCGCTCGGAGTGGACCAGGAGTTGGACAAGGAGAAAATGCTGGAGGGCAGGAAATCCAACATCCGCAAGTCGGTGCAGGTGGCCTACCACCGCGCCATGCAGCACCGCAGCAAGGTGCAGGGAGACCCCAGCAGTGAAACCAGTGACAGTGACTGAACACACATGAACTATACGTGTTGATCCCTGCAGGTGTTGTGGAGTACGTTTCTTTATAGAGAGCCCGGCCCGACATCACAACACAAAACAAATAGTGCCAGCAGCACTGAGTGGAAGAAGACGTCCACTACATTAGCCCCGAGACGCGCACACTCATGCACACTAAGCCGTATTTAATCCGACATGTAAAATATTGTAATTAAGAGAATTGAAGAAAAAAAATAATAGTATTGATTGATAAAAAAATTACATTATGTTCAGAATCCTGAATCCGAATATTCCTTATATGTGGTCGATATATATGTTTAATAAGTTTACAGAGTCAAAAAGTGATGATGACACTATGATGTCTACACAACTCTGCCTTTCCCTGTCATTCCCACACATCAGTCACACATGTACGTTTACATGTGTGATCAGGGAAATGCATGTAGTGTACATTAATGCACACACTGTGGGTATGGCAGTGATGGCATTCACTGCTCAAGCACGTTCTCACATGCATCACCCAACTCCAAAAAAACAAAACAAGAAGCCTGGTGCTGGAGTCATTAGTCAGTGGAGCACAAAGACTGTTGCAAACCAACGTTAATGTTATTTATTCTGCTTACTCCTTCTCAACAAGCTCCACAAGCTTGATTCATGATGAACTACTTCTAATCACTCCGACCCACACGAGACACGGCTGTGTGGTTCCTTCCGTCTGTCACTCTTTGATCATCACGTTTTTACAGTTTTTCTTAACGTCTGTGTCACACAGGCCGCTGGTCAGAAAATCACGAGGACTGAACTGAAACACGTGATGGCCTTGCACTCTCTCTTAGTCTCAGGCTGATGGCCTTAGAACTTTTATATATACAGATTACACAAAGATAGAAAGTTTAATAAAAGGAATTGAGTTTTTTAAACTTGTGGGTCGTGTTGTGGTCACTGTGTCGGTGCCTGAGGGACGGACCGTGTTTGTTCACCCTCAGAATTCTTCCTGGTTTCCTGCTCGATTGCTGTGGATAAGTGTGGGAAATATTGCTCTTTGTTCCGCAGAAAACCTGCCTTTATTATTTCTGAGGAAACAAGGACCTCTGACGCTCTATGATACTAATTAACAGATAATGGCAGCACAACACTGTTTGCTATCAGTGACTATGACTTGTAGTGTTGTCCACAAACGTATGGACACTGAGAAGAATTCAAATACATTTGATTCATTGTGAAACTGCAACAGGTCAGAGGAGGTTAGCTGAGTTGCGGTCCTTCATATTCGGACCTGGAAGCATTTTTGTTCACACAGCAAAAATAATGCGGACTAATGCGTCGCTGACCAAACAATGTTTTCTCAGACCTGATGTTATTTCTGATCACTAATGATGGGATCTTCTAAAGACAGATGTGAACGTCAGGTGTGAACAGGGCCCATACGTGCTCTAGGGTCTATTCAACTTAGACATTACTTCCTCTTTCATAAAGGCATAAACTCTCAACACATGACACCTTAAGGAAGCACTTGAACAACCTGCAGGTTTCCTGGTAACAAAGGGAGTTACAACAAGTGGGTCATGTGCTCAGTTCAGATGTGTACAGTGCTGATCATGCTAGATGAGGACTTGTGGGTGTGGAGGCTGCTCTTTACATCTGGCTCTGCAGGTTTCTTGGCCCTTCACAGTGTTTTATTGTATATGAAGCACAGACTCACTGTAAACCTGTTCTGCCGGTCACACGAGACTGATTTGTTTTGCCCATTAGCAGAATTTATAAATCAGTCTTTCCGCTCACGTTGAAGATCCCCCACCCTGATGAAACACCCACTCACCACAACGTGATGATTTGCAACCAAAGTGACGCCATTCAGACACCTCATTTCCTGCCCGACGCTCAGCAGTCTGAGTGGAAAAGACAGATAAGCATCAGTCAGTGGTTTTGACAGAAAGTCGAGTTGAGTTGTGGAAGGCTGTTTTCTCTCATATCTGATGAACCCGTTTATATTGATTGTCTTTAATGATTGTCTTTAACCACATATCACATCATTTTGGCATCAGCACAAATTGCATCATTTAGGCAACGCTATCTTTATTTCTGTGTGTCTTTATCTGAAGGGTAATTAGTAACCTCCACAGAGTGACTAATTTATGTTGTCACCCCTGTTGTAAACAAAATTATGGATTACCACAGAACTTAACAGAAAGGATGGGGAAGAATACTTTATATTTTGTTGTGGATCCAGTCATTTTTACTGTCATTGTGAAACAGAGCATGTTTCAATATTTGTTTTCCCAGGGAATCATTCATGGATCTTGCTGAAAAAATAATAAGGGAAATTTAATGGAACTGATATCTATGAGAGCGTGAAGGTTCATGCAGCGGAGGGCTGCGCTCTACTGAGTCTCATTCTAATTTAAAGCAATGCGATCTCTAATGTTCTTGTCCAAAGCATTGAAAGGGTTTGTGAACTAAGTGACGAGGACAAACGGAGGGAAAACAAAACTGTATCTCCTCACACTTACAGACCCTCTCATGTTTTTTACAATCTGCCCTCAGGCTTTTAGTCATAGACCCTCAGGCAAACACAACAAAGAAGCATTCAGATATACTCTACACATCATATGTGTTGACGTTCTTCAGTGCTTTTCCTGAAGGTCTACGGCCAAAGTTTGTATATAATCAGATAATGTGCAGACCCTGGTGTTCTTTTTGATATTTTTATGCATCTTCTTCCAAAAGAAACCATTAACTGGAGCCCGACACATTGAATGCAATGGAGTTGCGGGACATTAGTCTACAGCGATGTTATGTGCGGCCTCGACACTGGTGCATTGAACTAAATACCTACACCACAAAATATGTGTTTTCCAGCAAAAGGGTGAGTGTGGGAAACCAGAGCTGCACAGAAATGTCTTAAAAACATTAAAACCCCAGATTACTGTTTGTACTGAGTTTACTCATTAACCCAACATGTAACCTGACCAGAGGTCGAGCAGAGACAGGGAGCCTCTTTAAGTGTTCTCATACAGAAGAGAACACTTATGCTTTGTATTTTAATTAATTTGGATTCATCTGTTTTCACTTTCTGTCTGTTGATCAATGAGAAAAAGTCATAGTGAGTTTATGTTGTGAAACTAGAACGGCACTTAGGGCACAAGTCACCCCAAAGCCCAACAGTCCCCATATAAACCACATTTAAATTCACTAAATCTGGATCTTTATTTGGATCTGTAGTGAATTGCAGTCCCCTAAACATCATCATAGTAATAATAATAACAATTATACCTTTCAGAACAGCCATTACAAAGGACAAGAAGAGGGGAAAACAGTAAAGATCATCATCATCATCATCTAACCCTAATAGCAGAACATGAAATCTTCCAGTGTGTGTAGTAGTGACCACTTTTTACAGGCAGACATATATTTATCATATATATATATATATATATATATATATATGTCTGATTATGACCCACTGTAGGTTCACACTCACCACACACCCCTCAGTGCTGTTTACTGTCAGAGTGGGCGTCAACACAGGCGTCCTCTCATTTCATAATGAGGCTTTGACTCAGAGACAGTTGTCTTTCTTGTCTGTCTCCTTCTGTTCCTGCCTGAGACACAGGTGGAGCTGAAGGGGGCGCGGTTAGTAAAAGAAGTCGAAGTAAAAAATCGTTAAAAAACTTTTAAAACGTCCTCGGAACCTTAGAAAAGAATAAGCAGGTCACACATGGTCGCAGATAAAACCCTCAGTGCGCAGCGGCTGTTTGTGTTCCTCCTCTGGGAGGTGTGTGTCCGTGCGTGATTGTGTCTTTGTGTGTAGAGGGAGGGACTCGAGTTTGCTTTCGCTCCTGAGGAAACCAGTATCATGGACGAGCGATCAATCGACGTATCCGGGAGGACACAGCACCATGACTTGTAACCACATCCCTGTCCCTGCGTAAAAGATGCGTCTTGGCAGCGCGCTGGCGTCTATCAGCGCCCTGATGTTTCTACTGCAGCTGGAATACACACCGACATGTCAGGTGAGTTTTTACAGAAGGGAATACACAGTGTATATACACACACACACACACAATATACAGACAGTTCACTACAGTGTGAATTAGGTCTGAATTACTGTAGTTTAATGCAAAAACGAAAGCACTGTAACTGGACACCTGCAGCCTTAATGTAACTATACACTTGGTAAATGGACAAGTTCAGTTGGGCTGGGCCTGTCAATATATTGCTTATACATTAAGGAGGGATAACATATAACTGATGTACCTCAGGTTTGGATCAGCTCTCACCAGTAAAAATCTGTCTAAAAATAAATCATTTCAAATTTATTTCATTAATCATTGATGTTCGCACTGATTTACATTTTTTTTTAGATCAAATAATTGTGATATTTTTTTGTTATCTTGGTTTAATTTAAAATGTTAACCATTCTGCCCAGCCTTGCTTGAAAAAGTATTTTCTCTGTTTCATGTATTTTCTAAAACTTTCCTTGTTTCTTGTCTTTACTGTAGATGGGAAATGGAACTGGTGGTAAGTTGCTTTCTCTTTATATTTCAGTGACATGTGGAAGACGTGTGTGCTGCTGCACTAATGCTGCTCTCTCTCTCTCTCTCTCTCTCTCTCTCT